TCCCTATACAATGACTCGGGCCACGTACTCACGTCATTATATACACGCAAAGCGAAGTATCGGCCACCTCGCACGTACATTATGAAAATGCACGTATCATGCTCGCCTATGCAGTAGGTGAATTTATGATGATCCTTGTAATTCACGTACAATTTATGTAGATTTCAAATTCAGCCTCCAGGTATGCATGGTTCACACGCACGAGCATATAAAAATTAGCGGCTTAACTCAGTACGGGCCCATGAAAGTTTTTCGCGGTTAAATGGCTAACTCGGAGATTTGAGAAAAACTAGAAAGCTGAAATTTTACGGGAACATTCCCTGTCCATGCAAATCTTAATGAGCTTCCATACCAGTCCACGCGTACACGTGGTACCCACGTAGGGGCCCGCCAAAATTTCTTTCGGGTAAGTTGCTAATTCGAGTACCAGAAAAGCTAGAAGGCTGTAATTTTAAGAGGATGTTCCACGTCCACGTAAGTCTCAACGAGCTCAAACGCTCAGACATCGGGTATGCGTCGTACCCACGTACGGACCCATGAAAGTTTTTTTCGAGTAAGTTACTAAGTCAGGAGCCAAAAAAGCTGAAGGGGATGTTTCCTGACAGTTCTGGTGGCCAGTCTTAATTTGTTTAGCTAGAAGCATTTGCCGAGAAAACCGGTGCCAGAAGCGACAAAAACTGCGAGGAACTATGCAAAAAACGCATCTTCGCATCGGCAGCCCGTGCATTGGCCAATTATTCGTAACTGCTACCAGATCTAACGCGGGACGGAGCTTTTTCGTTGCGCGGCTGTGCAATTTTTCCTTCGTTGGATGGTTAAGCTGAAGTATCCTGGCGAGTTGTGTGTGCAGGGTTCGGGGAACGAGGGTTGTGTGGGGTTTCGGGGTTTCCTCGGTTTCCGTGTTTTCCTGCGGTTTGTGGCTTTTGGGGTCTCAGCTACCGCCTATGTCAAATGTGCCAGGAGCGTTGAGATTTTTCTGTGAAGAACACCACGAGGTTCCCCCCTAAATGACCTGAGGCTGAAAATTCCCTGGAATTTTCTACTTTCAGGTGCGGCCTTAATTCTGCTTGGAAGCGGAATTATCTCCACATAAGTATAAGAAATGCTCGACTTTACCGCAAACTCAGAAACGAGTGCATTTTGCAGCGAATGACCACCCTCATTCTGTGATATCCGTGTATCTGGAATTGCCCTGTCTCAAACCCTCTAAACCTCGCATCCCGCATCTAACAAGCAGTAAAAAAGAGCTGGCGATTTTTTCGAGGGGTAAAATGAGAGTTAAGATCGCTAGTAGGCTGACCATTAGGTGAAGGAAGTCGGAAATAATGGAATAAAGGGGGATTGGACTTAAGTGTCACTTGTAAGAAAAAGACATTTTACGATGCAGCAGTCTGTCTGCCTGTGTTTCATCCCTTAGCTGTAAACACTGAGACTGAAATTACATTCGGCAAAAAATCGTAGAATAGAGGGACCGGACTTAAGTGTCATGTGTAAGAAGGCATTTTACGATACAGTCTATGTTTCATCCCTTAGCTGTAAACGCTGAAAGTTTTTAGTTTCGGCGTTATTCGCGCTCGCATTCGCTTCCTTTAATTTGTTAGTAACTGTGCGAGCCTTTTTTTTTTACATCTAATAGGTACCGAAAAAAACTTTGTCGACGCTTTTTCAGGAAGCAAAATGAAAGTCAGGTTTTGAGGAAAGATTGACCGCTGAGGCGATTCCTTAGCATTGGCCAGTGCCAGGTGCCTGTTAAACTAAAATTTTGACAACTTTTCCTGGTATTCCAAGTATGTCTAACTTTTAGGTTAAATTAGTTATATTATGTTTGTTTGGTGTGTCTTTATACAGTTAGTTCAAGTTTTTTGCATTTTTTTTTTTCGCATTTATGCAATGCAAAAACACATGTTTTAAGGAGGTTGTATGTTTCCGTATGTATGTATGTATGTGTGTATGTATGTATGTATGTATGTATGTATGTATGTATGTATGC